ATAAAATACATTTACAATATCAACTTTTTATAAATTTTACTCTTATAGTCTTATACAATTATAAATATTTGGAAAAATTGATAAAAATAATCCCAACTTTGGTTTATTTTTAAATAATCCGAACTTTGGGGGCCATCCGCTCAAAATGGCCCACCAGGTCACTCAACCTGTTATAATAGGTTTAGGTGACACATGTCACCACGTGATTAGTTGAAAATTAAAAAATTAAAAAATGCCTTGTCCAGCCCTAGCCCCCGACCACCCACACTACCACCACCCTCGCCACCACCAATCAGCCTTTTCCCCATCCTGACCACCCTCAATGTCGACGACGGCGCCCCTACCCCTGTTCGCAATCTTTCCCCCCAAATCACCAATAATCCACCACCGCAAAACACCAATCTGCATCCTCACCTTGAAATCTAAAAAAAATGAAAAAAGCCTCCTAGCTCTATCGTATAAACCCCCAGCCACCCCTCCCCGACCCTCCGAATCCTAGCGACTAGGGCTTTCGAGGGAAGGTAGTTGCGGCAGGGGGTTTGTACAGTAGGAGAGAAGGTTTTTAAGATCTCGACATTGGGTTGGTGGTGGTTGTTTCGGTACGCGATCGAGTTGAGGAAGGCGGAGGGAGCGTCACCGGCAGCTCGTGGTAAGGAATCTGGGTACGGCGTAGAATGGGGGTAGGTGAGTGACATGGCTGGGTGGTCGAAGGGCTACCGGAATCTATCGTGGGTGGTTGTTGGTGAGACGTAGGATGTGGGTGGGTGAGGCTAGTTCTTTACTTTTTGTTTTTAGTTTTCTTTTTTTTTTTTTAGAAAAAAAATTATATTTCAACTAATCGGGCGGTGACACGTGTTACTAAAATCTAATTAAAAAAAAAATTACCTCCTTAACAAGTTACTGGTCACTTTAGACCATTTTGAGCGGATGACCCCCAAAGTTCGGATTATTTAAAAATAATCCAAAGTTGAAATTATTTTGAGCGAATCGGCAAAAATTAGGATTATTTTTAGCAATTTTTCCTAAATATTTAACATATAAAATGTATTTTGAGATGTGTTATTTCATCCTTGTTACAAATTATTGGAACAGAGGAAGTATAACCCATGGGATTGTGATTTTCCCTTTAAAAGACTTAAATAAACTAAGGGTGAGGCTAAAACTAGTGTCCTTTTAAGCCGATTTTAAACTTGTTAAGTTTGTACTTGCGTTTTAGGCATGAATTTTCGAAAATCATTGACCATTTGTATTTTTCTACTAGTGATTGTATTAGTTGCTCAGAGTAATTAAGCTATAATTGCTAGGCTAATAGCCTTTTGGACTTTAATGAGTACAAATTTCATTGAGTAAAGCTAAGCAAAATTGCTAGGTTATATTCGATCCTTGTGTACTATGTATACGAAGACAGTAAAGCTAAGCAAGTAGTATAATTTTGTAATGAATTCAATATAATAGCGATTAGCGAAACGAAAAAAATTAAATAATTCATGTTCTTGATAATTCAATTTTGATAAATCCGCTCAAGAGATCCTTATTAAAAAAGGAGATGGTTTACGATATGGGTTCTTCTACTACCAAAATTCTTTCATAATTGACAAAAAATATACTTAATTATTTTAATGTATTGTCTTACGATTGATAAATTATTGGTTCGACTAATTATATCTGATAAGAGTGGTTCATTGAGAGTCACTTTAATGCATGAGTTAACCCAACACATGTTGCGATGTTCATTAACCAAAATCAGGGCGCTACTACAACATGTTTTGCATATACTCTATGCAATCTCTTAACTTTTATTTACTTATTAAAATGGTGCGTTCATTATTTTAATATGTTGTTTTAATAAAGATTATTTATGACTTGTAGCCTAATAACAAAAGATGCGAATTATTTATGTCTTGTCAAAAAAAGATGCGGATTGAAAGATTATTCTTGGATTTTACATCCACTGCATGGAGACTTTAATCCTACAAACTTTTAAATAGATCTGGTTTACACTAATTTATTGTGGACCACTTATAATAGAGATACTATGGTCGTTTTATATATTTAAAAAAAGTCACTATGTTAAAATAATGGTCATTATGTTAAAATAAAAGTGATTGTGTTTCATAAAGGTCATAAGAGATAAAAAAATTTAAACGAAAATTTTAAAATACTGGTCACTAAGTTAAAAATAGGATCACAACATCATACTTTAGGTTTGCAACAATATTAAAAATCACACAAATTTTATTAAAAGTTACTATGTTAAAATTAAGGTTACTATATTTAATATTAGGGTCACTATATTCAATACAAAGTCAGTTAACGAACTTCACTATCATCAACTATGTATGAATATATCTAAACCTGACTTGGCTATTCTTTCAAAAAAAAAAAGTTGACTTGGTTGATGAGTGCATGTGACTATACATGCAAATGGTTCAAACTAAGAAAATACATTACTAACAAACCACAAAGTTCTTATGCTATATTTAATTACTTTTTTTAAAAAAACAAACATAAACTACAAGTCTATCTACACTTGAACTACAATAGAGATCATTTACAGAATTGAACCCCGAATCCGAATTAGCTAAAAGGGTAATTGAAATCAAAAAAATAATATAATATAGTACTTCTATATATTATTTTTAATAGTATTGAATGTTGATGATATTCTTATGTCCGCGCACACGTGTATATAAAGGCTATTATAATACTAGGCTAGTATAATACGAGTATAAAAAAAGATGTATGTCTAAAAAAAGGTGATGCATTTAAAAAAAATAGTCGATTTAGAAAAATGTTGCTTTAAAAAAAAAAAAAAAAAAAAACCAAGGGAGTATCTTTGTTACTTTTTAATAGCAACTTTTTTAATTTTTACCCAATTTTCACTAGAGGTGGGAATGGGTTTAAGACCCGGCCCAGTTAGACCCGATCGATATATTAGGGTATATATGGGTCTAAAAAGTTTAGACTCATACTCTGACCTAGATATGGCCATTGAATCTGGGTTCTTATATTATAATACCTCCGTTTCAGGTTATATGCAACGATTTGACATAAAGCAGAGAGGAAAAATGTCTAATCGTTGCACATAACCTGTAACAAAGGTAGGAGAATCTTGATTATGAAATGGAGAATTCCTAGTGCTATCATATAAAATGGATGATTTAATGGACAAAAGGTAGACTTGCTGCATGCTGCAACTTTGTTTTTAATAATTTTTTCAGTTTAAAATATGCATTTTGTTTATGAACTAGTAGTTTAATACTCCCTCCGTTTTTATCTACTTGCTTCATTTTCTTATTGGGAAAACTTTTACAATATTTAATTAATTTCTCTCACAAAGTGGACCCAACAATATTAATTTCATATTTTCTCTCCTTCAATTCTCTCCACTACTTTTGGATTTTTACATTTTTTTATTCTTCCACCAACCCAATTACCTCTATATTTTATTACTTTCTTCAATTTCTCCTAATAAAACTCCGCGCATGGAAAATTGAAGCAAGTATTTAAAAACGGAGGGAATAGTATGTTTTTTAATTAATGTATTTTTTTTAATATGAAGTTTATTTTGATATGTACTATGCGTCAAGATTGTTTAACGTATCTAGTTTTATAGTCACACAAGTAATATGATAGTTAAAATATATAAATAATATAAGCTAAGTGATTAAAAAATATATATATAGTTAAACTCATTTTGAACCCATATTAGACCCGAGACCTATTAGACTCGGTGGATCTGGGTCTGAGTTTGATTGCCATCCCTAATTTCCACTTTTTGCTTTGATTGAATTCATGTAGGTTTTTTAAGATCCATTTAATACATGATACATATTCTTCAAAATATTAATTTTTTATATTTTGCAGTTTACTTTTTTATTTGGTCCTAAAAGTTACATAGTATTAAAGTTGATATTACAAGTTCAAATTTGAGAAATAAATATGAGTTAGTTAGTCTATGAATTTTTAGGTAATTAAACAGTTAAACACCATTGATCATCACTTAGCTAAGTTAGTTGCTTTTGGTGTTGAACAAGTTTGGGCTAATCATTGTCCTTGTGAGGTTAGCCCATATGTTTTGATGGACTCATTGTCTCTTGATTAATCTCATGGTTATGTAGTTTCAAAAATAAAATAAAATAGCTTAATTGCTATGAATAGTTGATTGTGTATTCCTTTAATCAACATTATTAATCTTGTATCATTTGTTTGATTTTTTTTTTTTTTTGACAAAATCATTTGTTTGATCAGATTGAACATGAAACGAAAGAGAGAAAAAAAAAAAAAGAAAAATGGGCCCTCGAAATTTCATACTCCTATGGGTTTTTACGTGTTGTTAGTACGCAACGAGCCAACGAGTAATTTATTATGTCCAGCAACATTGAGCTAGAAATCTAGAATGGTCTCTTTGACTCTTTGGTATGATTGACTTGACCCTCTTTTACAGAATACTATGTACTACTTCGTATTTTTTTTTTTACAAGACCGTATTTTTTCTACTCCGTATTACAGAATAGAAGTAATATCGTTCTTTCAAAAAAAAAAAAAAAAAAAAAAGTAATATTGTACCCCGTATTTTTCTTCTTTTTATTTTTTGACAAGACAGTATTTTTTCTACTAACTCCGTTGATAGTCTCTCATGGACAATTTTCACAAGAATTAATAAAACATAAATAAGAAGTACTTCCTCCGTATTTTAATAAGAATTATAATTTGACCAAACACACATGTCGAAGCACGACTTTGACCATTAATTTATCTAATCATATATTAACAAAATCATAGAAAAATTGATATTATGAAAGTATACTTTATAACAAATCCAACAATGTATTATACAATAACATTTGTTTTTTATATATAAGTAAATTATCATCCAACTCATTATGTGAATAGTGAAAAAGGTCAAATTGTAACACTTATTAAAACACGGAGAAAAAAGTAGTAAAAGTACATTGAAAACAAATTCACATTGGGTATGCAAAAAAGTAGAGAGACAAAGTAATAAAACTACATAGAAAAGCAAACTTTACATAGAAAATGTAAATTTGCACAAATATTGTTGTAAATTGGAGAGAATTTTGATTAAAAAAAAATAATAATACTCCGTATTAATGATACTTGAAAAAAGAGCAAATAGGACTATTATTTTGGAGTTCATATAAAAGTTGGGTACTCAACTTTGGGCTTTGTTGCAAATTAGGTACTCAACTTTCAATATTGACAAATTAGGTACTATGACCTGCCTAAATCTTCTTTTCCGGCAAGTAACCTACACTACCAGGTTACCAGGCCATATTGCATTCTATTAAATAAAAAAAAAAACTAAACTAACTTAACCTTTTTCTCTCTCCTCCTTTTCTCTATTCCTCCATTAACAAACCTCCATTTATTTTTCAATTTTGCAGTAATATTTTTAACATTTCTACTTTTGCTCTTTGCACTTTATTATTGGTGCAATTCGAATTTTTTTTTTTTTTAATATTTAATTTTGGAAATTTTCGAGAATTTTTTGCTGATGATCGAATTACAACTGGCACAATTTTTGGTGGAGGTAAATTTCTTTGTTTCTTTATTTTAATCATTGAAGATGCAAAATTGATTTAAATGGTTACTGAGCATTTGAATTTTAGTAGGTAGGTTGTCTGGGATATAGAATTGAAATGAAAAGTATTTTATTTTTGGTTAATGTTTTTAGTATATGGGAGATTTTGAATTGCCATTTATGTAGAAAAAATCAATTTTTTTTTTCTTTGACTACCACCACAGCACCACTACATCCACACCCCCACGAAATTTCCACCTCCATGAAACCCAGGCCCACAGATCCGACCACCCTCACAAAAAACCCACAAATTCAACCACCCCCATGAAAGCCCTCAAAAATCCGACCACCTTCACGAACCCAGACCACCACCCTCACGAAACCTAAACTAACACCCTTGCGAAAAACACCCTCATAATTCCAACCAACCTCACAAAAACAAAAGCCACGAAACGGACTCACGAAACCCCCCACAAATTCAACGGAAACCACTACGAAAATCCCACAAATCCGACGAAACCCACCTTGATTCAGTTTCTTTAAGGTTGGAGAGAAAGAAAGTTGAGCTAAAAGAGGTTGAATAGGAGAGAGAAAGCTGGGAAAAGATGAATTTTTTGGTTAATTAATTCAATTGAAGTTTAATTTTTTTTTTAAAAAAAATTATTAATGCTTGGTAACCTGTTGTTAAAGGTTAAAATTCAGCCAATACCCAAGTTCAATACCCAATTTGCCACAAACCAAACTTGAGTACCCAATCTACTACATTGAGCAAAGTTCAGTACCTACTTTTTATATTTACTCTATCATTTTGAGATTTAAAATTGGTCGTAAAGGACTATCAATAAGGGACAGAAAATATTTTTCTTTGTTTTGTCTTTTTTTTAAAAAAAAAATTGTTTTATTTTTCTTTGTCATTCACTTTGTTTTATTCTATTCTAATATAGGTATATCACTTTTATCGTCTTACTCTTAAAATAATTACACTTTTTTACATACTCTTTAATTTTTGGGTTTTTCTAAATTATGCCCCCCAAGTTCTTTGGTTTCTAAGCTGTACGCCTGTACCCATGCTATTTCAAAGATATAATTGTGCCCTCCACCATGAGCTAATAGGCATATGAACAACGTAGAGGTGGGCATCGTGTTGTGTCAGGCCACTACGGGCCGTGCCTAGTGGTGGCTCGTGTCGCGCTTATTTTGGCGAGTCGCGCCAAGCCACCATTTCGCACACCCCTACCATGGCATGGCACACGTGATTGGTGTGTCGTGCCGGACCAGTCACCGTGTCGCCCATGTTTTTTTTTTATTTAACAAAAATCTATATATATTTAGAACAACTTTTAAAATGGATACACTATTTAAATAAATAATTTAATTTATGTGTATGTTATTTTATTATTATATTATTATTGTTCTTTTTATTATTCTTATTTTATTTATTATAGTTCTTTATTATTTTTATTAATAATTTATTTGAAACAGCGAATGAGTAGCCGTTTTGCACGGGTTGTGGCGTGCCGCGTGTCATGCTTGGCCATGCCATGTGTCTTGCTCGCGAGCCAAAGTGTCGTGCCGTCCGCGGGTTCTTGTTGTGTCTGTGCCGAATTTTTGAAATCGTGTTCATGATACGGCCCACGACCCACTCCTTGATCACCATGCCGTGCCGTGCCATTTTTGTGCTACGCCAGTGCTGCCCACGGGCCGACCCGGCCCATACCCATCTGTTTCTGCAGGAATCCGATAACCCGAATCCAAGATCCGAAGCTCGAATATATGACCCGTTCTGCTCCTATCGGCCAAGTAAGAACCTGCACAAAGAGAAGAGATGAGCTAGCCCCGGGGTGAATCCGGGGATAACCACTCCAAAGATTAAGTCAGCAAGTGTTTATAGAAGAAAGATGATTTATAGAGAGAAAGTAATGAGAGAGAGAGAGAGTAGTGAGAGAAAGAGTGTAATTAATGATCTCTCTCTTATGAAGTAAAACCAGATTATTTATAGGTTTACTAAGTAACAGATGGCAGTTTAATAAGTAACATAATTTCTGCCACGTGTCAAACGCGAGCACGACACGTGGCAGCTACTTACATGCCGATATGTATAATTTATACAGAAATGTCGATATTAACAAAAGCTATTTGATGAATCGAATTCAAATAGTATGTCGGTCTGTCATACCATATCGGCCCATAATGATTTCCGTTATGTAGATATTTCCCCATACAATTAGCCCCCCGAGTGGGGACGTTTGATCAGATGATCTAACGTGGTCACTTGTTATTAGTATTCTCATTTGATTCGATTTGAGTTATAATGTGACTGGCAAACAATGTTTACCGTAATTATATGTAGGCTAGGAGCAAAAAACTTCGTTTTCCCCCCCAAGTAACCTTGTTTGCCGTTAGCAAACAAGGTTTACTTTAATTATACTTAGGCTGGGAGCGAAAAACTTCGTTTTTCCCCCCAAGTAACCTTGTTTGCCGCTAGAAAACAAGGTTTACTTTAATTATAGTTAGGCTGGGAGCGAAAAACTTCGTTTTCCCCCCAAGTAACCTTGTTTTCCGTTAGCAAACAAGGTTTACTTTAATTATAGTGGCTTTAAATTTTAGGCGGGAAAATTGTATAAGTAGAGGACACGTGTCGATGATCTAACGATTTATTTTTTAAATTAACATTTTGTTCTAACCGTTAGATTTCTGACTAGGTGTCATATCAAACGTCACCTTTTCAACTTCCTTTTTAACTTCTCTTTCCTCTTTTTTTTTTTTACTTTTCACATTTTCATATCTCCTTCACAAAAAGTTGCGAATTTTATCAGAGAAAGCTGCGATCTTTGTTTGGGATAACCGCAATTGGGTCTTGCTGGACTTATCGCATTACTGAAGCATCTAATATTCTTCTTTGCGTCGTCGCTGCCATCAAGTAGTTTAAGGTATTTTAAAGATTTCAATTTCAATTTGCATGTGTTGGAATACATTCGTTGTTTGCCCATTTTTTAGTTTTTAGTTGGTTTATTAAATGTCCAATAATAATACTGAAGAACAACCCCCCCCCCCTTAGTACTGTTAGGCGGCGTCTTATTAGGCAGTCTTTGGGAAAAGATCTCGGCCATAACAAAAGCGGAGTTTCATCTTTGTCTGATAATATTGACGACCCTTTTCAGCCGTTATCAGAGAAAAAGCAAAAGGAGGCTTTTTACCGTCATAAAATACTAGCGGATTGTGAAAAGGCACGACGCCCTACCAATCCTAACAATCATGAGGACGTTGAGGTTCTTGAAATTGAACCTGTTAGCATCCAGTATCATTTGCGGAGTTTTGCCGACAAACCTGATTTTGATCAATACGGAACTAACGTCGGAAATATTCATATCAGAACCTCCAGTATGCCGAGATCTAAGCCGACTGACAACCCATCTCAGACTGCTGAGGGTGTAGCGAGGCCTAATGTTGAGGCTGAACCAAGCTCTAGGCTTGAGCCAAGCAAAAGGCCTGGCCAAGCACAAGTTATAAGCTCTTCTAGCTCTGAGTCTGAAAGAGGTTCGAAATCTCCTGTTCACGATTCCGCTATCAAATCTGTGTTAAATGACGACGATGATAGTGATGAAGAAGTAAATCAGGGCGATAACACTGAAAGCCCTGAGAGAGCCGAAATGATTGATCTTATGGCTCAAGTTACCCATGAGGAAAGTTTAGATGAGGAGTATGAGTCTGAAACCGATGAGGTTGATTTCCGACAACCTCTTATCTTACCCTCTAACAGTAAAGTTGCTGAGGCTAGCGTTAGCAAGGTTTGGCTGAAATTGGCCAAAGAAAAGGAATATTGTCGTAAGGCAAAAATATTTTATGGTTTGCCGGATGGGTATGAGTTAATACTTCCACCACCTTCTGCTACTGTTCTTGATTGTCCTGATGGTCATATTGCCATTTATGCCAACACTTTGAATTCGGCCTCCGATTTCCTCTTCATCCTTTTATTGCTAAAATTTTTAAGGCATGGAATGTATGCCTGGTACAAGTTACTCCTCCTACTATTCATGCCGTTATTGCTCTAGTTTGGGTTTTGCTGTATAAAAATTTTCCGTTAACTTTGAACTTGTTTAGGAGGTTAATAACTTTGAAACGTGATGGACAATCTGAGGGTTGGTGGTCGTTGTATACGCCCTCTCACAAGTTCACTGTAAACCCTAAGTTGTCAAGTTGTAAAGGTTGGCAGGATAAGTTCTTTTTCATGAGTGTTCCGGAAGATTTTCCTATCAGGAGAACTTTTTTTCGGCCTCATCCTTGTTTCGGCCATATTGCCGAGAGAGAGCTTGGCCCTCAAGAACAGAAGCCCTGTGGTTACTTTGACGCCGTTAGGGCCAATATCGGTGGAAAAACTCGTGTTGTTCCGAAAGTGTGGTTGCCAAATGTAAAGTACATTTTGAACAACGCACCACTATCTTATATCGGTTTATGTCGGACTAACGCTTATGGTACTAACCTTATATAAATTATTGTTATTCTGTACGTTGTCAGTACTTACGCATTAATATGATACTTTTGTTGGTATTACTTATACAGATATGGTTTTTAACGGTTTATACTTATTAATGATCTTTGACATGTAGGCCCACAGAAGTTGGACAAGGCAGCCCTCGGCTTATCACCTGACGACAAGAGAGTGGTGTTCCGTTGTCCCCTATCTCCAAGACCGGCATTAGAAACCTTCACTTCTTTCTGCTCACGTGCCCCTACACGTAATCCTAAAAGAAGAGCAGAAGAGATGGCTGATGAGAATGTGAGAAGAAATCGGCGTCTGACCTCATTGGCTAACAGACGCGGTGGTAGTGTTCCTACGTCTCTACAAGAAAGGAAGATGAGCCGGCATCAAAGCGGTCAAAGACCGACACTGAACAGCCAAAGGCTCCATCACCACCTAAAACTTCTGCTCCCGAAAAAACAGTTTCGGCAGTGGCAACAACCAATGAAAATGCCGAAAAGGTGTTTGAAGATCTTACTGTGTCTCCTGTTCCTCAACAGGTAATAAACTTGGTATATAAAAATTTACTTGTGATAACGGCCGAAAATAAAATTTTTATTATATCGTTATTATTATTTTTATTATTTTTACTAACTTATTTTCTATTAGGAAACTGTTCCCATTTCTGCTGAACCTCAACAGGTCGGTCCTGTCAATTCCGATACAAGTATTCCCGGTATTACTTATCGGGGTGGAAAGTGGATTGAACACGTTGAAGGAAAGGTTCCAGATGAGGTTCTGAATAGAGTAAGGGCTCCTGAGGGTCGTTCTCGTGATCAATGGCGGCCTGAAATGGACGTCTTCTGTAATGAATCCATTTTCACTGATGACCCTCTTCGGGGTGGAAATCTGGGATATCGGCTGCTACGAAATGTTTCAACTCCAGTTGATAGGCCGTCTGGACAGATCGGCCCAGTTGCAGCCCAACATATGCATGATCTGATGAGGGTATGTAGTTATAATTTACTATGTATCCATTTTTTTTTAATTAAGACACATGGCTTATATCTTTTATATTGCACTTTTTTATAGGCGGTTGCTTCTGGAACAGAGTTGGTTGAGATGTATAGATTCTATCAGGATAAGTATCATCAGAACATATCTAACCAACAATCTCTGGAGACAGCTTTAAAGAATGCCAAAAAGGCTTTTGATGGAATTAAGCTGATAAAAGCGAAAGATGATGCCGAATTGTCATCTCTGCGCGAGAAAGTTGAAAAAATGAAAAATCTTGAAGAGGAGATAAAGGATCTTAAATCTCAGCTTGAAGATAAGAACGCCGTGAAGGATAAACTTTCCATTGCGCAGAGTGATCTTTCTAAGGCTAAGGAAACAATCGGCAACCTAGAAGGCCAGCTGCAAAAAATGGAAGCCGATAAATCTGGGGTACGGCAAAGGGCGGTTAGCCGTTATTTGTCATCGGCTGAGTTTTGCAGTAAACTACAAGATCGTTTTGATGGTGGTTGGACTGCTGCTCGGAGATGTGCTGCTCATGCTATCGGCCTAAAACAAGAAGACTAGGCTAAGATTGAAATAGCATTTAATAATGATGCTCACAAGACACCTTCTGGATTCGAGCAACAGGAGTTCTCAGACGCAAATATCTTTAATCTTGCTCCTCCTGCTGATATCGGCGTTTTCGACCCTAAGATTTTGGATTCTCCTGAACCTGAAAACAAAACGGCTTAAAGGGGCGGGCAGCCATCACCATCATCATCTTGCGGCTCTTGTGTTATGGGGCCTTACTCATTGTAATTTCTATTTTGGTTGTGTACTTTTAGAAAACTTGCTTTTGACAATGCTATTTTATCGGCATATACCCTTTTGTGGTGATATCTGTCGATCTTGTTTTAGCTTTGCCAAAACATCGTTTCTTTCATAACATTATGTTTGTATATCTTTAATGTATTTACGTTTTTATGCGGTTCTTTTAAATGTTATAACTGTCTTAGTTTTAACTTTTATTGGTTTTAATTATTCAATTCATAATCGATTTACTTTACACAACTCGTACGTTATACTTGTAAGCATAAGGATATCGACATAGCCCCTTATTAAGACTGTAATATCGGGCGTAGTATAGCCCCTTATTCTTCCCCGCTTAGTGCAGACATCATTTTCATGATGTATGTACTTACATCTTTTTGTATACGATGATAGTTTATGTTTTGTAACTCAGTGGTCACTTGTGAAATTCAACTATATAATAGTTTCGCAAGTACCCTTATCGGCGATCATGTTTCAGCTGCGCCTCATGTCGGCGCATATTGTATAATGATTTGGCCGGATATTATATTGAACCAACAACCTCGTGATTTAACGAATACAACTAATCAGGTTGTAAGAGCGTTATCGTCACGGAAGTGGTTTTTGGCTGTCCATCCCAATTAACGTTGGTCTGTTAATTGGAGGATGCCTTTACACACAAATTGTAGAGTATATCATTGCATCTGACTTTATTTATCATCACTATCATACAAAGTACTTTAACTCGACTTTTACATTATACATAGTATTTCTTAAGAACTATAGTATTCCAGACATTCTTCAGTGGCTTTCCGTCTTCAGATTCCAGATAGTATGATCCTTGCATTACCATGTCTCTTATTCGATATGGACCTTCCCAGGTAGCTGTTAACTTTCCATCTTCATTCCCCTTTCCTGTTGCTGATGTTCTTCTTAACACCAAATCTCCGACAACTAGTGGTCGGTGATTAACTCTCTTATTATAGGCCCTTGACATTCTGTTTTTGTATGCGACCAATTTAACTGCCGCTTTTTCCCTTACTTCTGGTAAAAAATCTAACTGTTGTCGCAGCAATAGATCATTTTGCTCTTCGCAGTGGTGCTGTATTCTGAATGTCGGCAGATCGACCTCGGCGGGTATAACGACTTCTGTTCCAAAAACCAAATGGAAAGGGGATTCTCTTGTTGCTTCTTTAACTGTTGTTCTGTTCGCCCATAAGATCTCTGGAATTAAATCTGCCCGTAACCCTTTAGCATCTTCGACCTTTTTCTTTATTGCCATTACTATCTGCTTATTAGCTGCTTCTGCCTGGCCGTTAGATTGCGGATGGAAAACTGCTGCATATGCAAATTTAACTTTGTAAATTGTCAGCAAAGTTTTTACAGGCTTACAATCAAACTGCGATCCATGGTCAAAAACCATTGCTCTCGGAAGGCCAAATCTTGTAAAGATATTTTTCCAAATGAACTTTCTAACTTCTGCTGCCGATATTGTTGTTACTGGTTCTGCTTCGATCCATTTGGTGAAGTAATCTACACCCACCAGTAGGAATTTTTGATTTCCAGTTGCCGACGGAAAGGGTCCAATTATATCCATCCCCCGTTGTGCAAATGGTACTGGATTCAATATCGGCGTTAAATCATTTGGTGGCCGGTTCAGAATAGGTGCGAACTTTTGACATTTTTCACACTTTTTAACATAAGAAGAAGCATCTTCATTCATTGCTGGCCAATAATATCCTCTTTTCATTATTTCTCTTGAAAGAGCTCGTGCCCCTAGGTGATTTCCGCAAGTTCCTTCATGAATCTCTTCTATTAACCTTGTAGATTCTTCAGATGTTATACACCTTTGTAATGGGAACGAGAACCCTCTTTTATAGAGTTGTCCCTGGTACAGTATGAACCATACGCTATCTTTTTTGATTTTTCGAGCTTCTTCTTTCTGTATCGGCAAAGCCCCTGTCAGCAAGTATGTTAGGATTTTGTCATACCATTGCTCCCCTAGCTGAATGCAATGAACGGCCTTTGCCGACTCGCCTATGCTTCTCTGCTTCAGAACCTCTACCATAACAGTTCTTTCCAAGTCATTAAAACTTGAAATGGCTAGCCTTGCTAGAGCATCAGCTTGCGAATTTTGTGCTCTCGGCACCAATTGAACTTCAAAATACTGCAGTTGGGCTGTAAGCTCATTTATTTTTTCCAGATATTTTATCATCGCCAGCTCTCTTGCTTCATATTCCCCACGAAACTGACTGGAAACCAATTGTGAGTCAGTTTTGAGAACTAACCTTTTTGCATCTGCCGCTATAGAAAGCTGAATGCCCGCAATTGCTGCCTCGTATTCAGCTTCATTATTTGTTGCTTTGAATTTGAACTTCAAGGCATACTAAAAAACTTCTCCATTCGTGGCTGTTATCACAATACCGGCTCCAGATCCCATTAAGGTTGCTGAACCATCTACTGATACCTGCCATGTCCCCAATTCTTCCTCCTCATCTTTGTAGGAGGTTTCTACAACAAAATCTGATAGAGCTTGTGCTTTTATTGACACCCTGGGTTTGTAATACAGCTCATACTCCGATAATTCAACAACCCACTTCAATAACCTTCCTGATGTATCCATTTTTTGCAATGATTTTTCCAATGGATGATTCGTAAGGATTTCTATTGGATGTGCATCAAAATAAGGTCGTAATTTTCTAGCAGCAATTACGACAGCAAAGGCCATTTTTTCTATCACCGGATATCGTCGCTCAGCAGCATTAAGGACATGGCTGACAAAGTATATCGGCATTTGTTGCTTGGCCCTCTCAACTATCAAGACTGAGGCCACTGTTTTTGGTGACGCCGAAATATATAACTGTAAGCATTCTCCCGGCTCCGGTTGTGCTACCGTTGGGAGAGACTTCAAATGGTTTCTTACCATCTCTAAAGCATCAGCTTGATCTTTTCCCCACTCAAATGATTTGTTTTGCCACAGAACCACAAAAAACGGAAGCGCTTTATCTGCCGATTTGCTAATGAAGCGCGTTAAGGCTGCCATTCTTCCTGTTAATCTCTGAATGTCTCGAATTGATTTAGGTTGTTTCATTTCAAGAAGAGCATTAATCTTATCAGGATTTGCATCAATGCCCCGTTCACTAACCATAAATCCTAAAAACTTTCCAGATCGAACTCCGAAAACACATTTTTCTAGGTTGAGCTTCATCTGATATTGCCGCAAAGTTGCAAAAGTTTCTTTCAAATCCTCTATGTGATCTTTTTTCATCTTGCTTTTTACTATTGTATCATCTACATATACTTCAACATTACGGCCCTTCTGATTTGCAAAAATTTTATCAACCAGCTTTTGATATGTCGCACCAGCGTTCTTTAGCCCAAACAAAATTGCTTTGTAACAGTATACCCCAGCATCTGTTATGAAAGCCGTTTTAGTCCTATCAGCTTCATGAAGACTAACTTGATGATATCCAGAGAATGCATCTAAGAAGCTTAACATTTCATGGCCAGAAGTTGAATCTACTAACCTGTCTATTCAAGGCAACGGATAACAGTCCTTTGGGCAAGCTTTATTCAGATCTGTAAAGTCCACGCACATCCGCCATTTCCCAGTCGGCTTTCTAACCATTACAACATTTGCCAACCATTCCGGATAAGTACATGGTTCTATGAATCCTGCCGTTAACAGCTTGTTAACTTCTGCTTGAATGGCTTCAATTTTCTCTGTTGAGAAGTTGCGCTTCTTCTGCCTTACCGGTCTGAATCTTCGATCCACATTGAGCTTATGCTCCATCACCTCTGGGTGTATGATCGGCATATCACTTTTCGAAAAGGCAAACACATCCGCATTTTCTCTCAATACGCTGATCAGATTACACCTCATTTCAACGTCCATATCGGCCCCAACCTTAACTGTTTGATTTGGGTTCCCTGGTCGGAGCTCCACCTGCACTGTCTCGCCTCCTGGTGACGGCCTTGGCGCAGTTTCTGGCCTAGAATCAAAATTCTCCATTGACAAATCTCGCACTGTTGGCTCTCTTGCTCGTTTCGGGTTGTTTGGTACTTCTCCTTTCTGCCCCGAATTTTTTAACGCCGTGACATAGCATGACTTTGCCATCACCTGTCCGCCATGTACCTTTTCCACAACCCCTCTATTCGACACATAAGCAATAATTAGATGGTAAGTTGATACTACTGGCTGTATGTCATGAATTATCGGCCGTCCCACAATTCCATTATACGCCGATGGTACATCCACTACCAAAAATTCAGCCATCGCATCTTTTGCTGTTATACCATCTCCAAGCCTAATAGGGAGAACTATACTCCCTTCTGGCCTTACCGTCGAACCGTTAAACCCAATCACCGGATATGATACTAGCGTTAAATATTGCCGGCCTATCATCAATTCATTAAAGGCTTGCATAAACAGAACATTTGCTGAACTTCCTCCATCAACTAGAACTCTTTTCACATCGGCTCCATTGATCTTTGTTATTAACACAAGGGGATCATCATGAGGAAACACTATTCCTTTTGCATCTTCCTTGGTAAAGGTCACATTCAAAATTTCAGACGGTTGTGGGCGATCAGCAACATCTAATGCATTAACAATGTGCCGATATTCCGATAGATGCTTCCGTGCCCCACTTATGGTTCCTCCTGAACTGGTCCACCGGTTATTACATCAACTCTTTTTCCGGTGGACGACGGTGGTTGCCCGCCTTCACATTGCCGGTTCACCTGACCTTGTCTTTCCGGCCGGTAATCTATCTGCTGGCGTTCTAGCTGCCGATATTGTTGTTGCTGACTTTCCCCAGAATGTAACCGATATTGAGTAAGATGCCCCCTTCTTATTAATTCTTCGATATTATCCTTCAACTGCACACAGTCCTCAGTGTAATGCCCCACATCTCGGTGGAACATACAATACTTCTTGGTATCCCTTCCTTTCGCTTTCATCGGCATGGGCCTCACCCATCCTTCTCGGTTTGATTTATAGAATATATTGCAGCCCTTGGTGCATTTAGAGGTGTATACGAATTATATTGCATTGGTGCTTTGGTTCCTCTGACCTCTTGGCGGCTTCCTCCTCTTGCTGCAGCTGGATTCCTCGACCTTACAACTCCTGAAGATCCCCCTTCAGACATAGGGTGAATTCTATCAAT